TCATTTCTGAGTCTGTGGGTCTCATTTCTGAGTCTGTGGGTCTCATTTCTGAGTCTGTGGGTCTCATTGCTGAGTCTGTGTGTCTCAGTGCTGAGTCTGTGGGTCTCAGTGTTGAGTCTAAGAGTCTCAGTGCTGAGTCTGTGTGTCTCATTGCTGTGTCTGTTTTGCTAACAGCGTTGAATACGACCCCTTTTGCCCCGCCCCCCCCATCCCCGAGAGCAGGCTCGACCGGAGCCAACCCAAGAGGCAGAAGGCATCAGCGGGATCTGTTGGAGGTTGGGGAGGAGGTGGAAGAGGTGGAGCGGGTGGAGGAGGTGGAGGGGGTGGAGGAGGTGGAGGGGCTGGAGGAGGCGCGCCCGTGGGCCGCACCAAACGCGAGCTGTACGACTTCTCGGCCCACGTCTACTTTGACGACGCCTTCCACACGACACCTGCCGGCGACAGGGCAGTGAACGAATTCGTCTCCAACCTCGTGGACGTCGTCAAGGAAGTGACCAAGTGAGGCAGGGTGGGGGAGGGGGGAGGTGGTGGGGGGGGGGGGGGGAGGAGGTGGGGGAGTGGGGGAGGAGGAGGTAGGGAGGGAAGGGGAGGAGGGGAGTGGGGGAGGAGGAGGTGGGGAGGGGGGGATGAAGGGGAGGAGGGGAGTGGGGGAGGAGGAGGTGGGGAGGGGGGGATGAAGGGGAGGAGGGGAGTGGGGGAGGAGGAGGTGGGGAGGGGGGGATGAGGGGGAGGAGGAGGTGAATGAGGTGGGGGTGGGGAAGGAGGAGGTGGGGAGGTAGGGAGCGGATGGAGGGGGAGGAGCAGGAAGAGAGGAGGTGGAGGAGCGGGGGGGAGGAGGAAGGAAGAGGAGAGGGGAGAGAGGGGGATGAGAATGTGATGACGTCCCGTGTAAGATGACATACACGGACGTCATCTTACAAGCACGTCATCGGAAACGGAATGGGAAGGAACATCTGACGGCGTACACACGTGCAGCGTCGGAACGAAACCGGACTAAAACTAAATGCGAAAAAAAAAAAACGGATGGCGTACGTGCATAAGTGAACGTCATCCATTCACGTCGCGTCATCGGAACGTCAGAGATGGTGGGGGGGGGTGGAGGTGAGCGGTTTGTTGACGGAGGAACCCCCCCCCCCCTCCCACTGTGCGTCTCCGCGTGGAGCGAGGTACTTCAACAGGACGGGCGGTGTGGAGCGGGAGGGACCCCCCGTGGAGTGGACGCCCACTCCGTACGGGGCCAGGATGAGCTACCGCCTGCCACACGGCAACTCCCTGAACGTGCACCTCAAGGACAAGGAGCTCATCCGCCACCGCAAGCGCTGGTCCCAGGTGGGGTGCCAGCGTGCGGTGTCGCGTGGCGTGTTGTGGTGCGTTGTAGTGTGTGGTGTGTAGTGTAGTGTGTAGTGTAGTGTGGTGTGTAGTGTAGTGTGTTGTGTAGTGTGTAGCGTGGTGTGTAGTGTAGTGTGTTGTGTAGTGTGTAGCGTGGTGTGTTGTAGTGTGGTGTGTAGTGTAGTGTGTAGTGTAGTGTGTAGCGTGGTGTGTTGTAGTGTGTTGTATAGTGCAGTGTGTTGTAGTGTGTAGTATAGTGCAATGTGTTGTAGTGTGTTGTAGTGTGTAGTATAGTGCAGTGTGTTGTAGTGTGTTGTAGTGTGTTGTGTTGTAGTGTGTAGTATAGTGCAGTGTGTTGTAGTGTGTAGTATAGTGCAGTGTGTTGTAGTGTGTTGTAGTGTGTAGTGTGGTGTGTAGTGTAGTGTGTAGTGTGGTGTGTAGTGTAGTGTGTTGTGTAGTGTGTAGCGTGGTGTGTTGTAGTGTGTTGTATTGTGTAGTATAGTGCAGTGTGTTGTTGTGTGTAGAGTGTACAGCTTTATAACTTGTTGGGAAGTACCCTTAGACGGTTTATGAGACGTAAAGCTTCAGGTCTTTATTAATGGAGATACAAGACGATTTTTATCTTTGTCGATTATGTCCGTACAAGCGATCGCTGTATAAACTTTGAGCTTTATAACTTGTTGGGAAGTACCCTAGAGGTTTATGAGATATACAGATTAAGGTATCTTTATCTATCTCCCTGTTGGTTGTGTCCCTACAAGCTACCTGTGTACCAACCTGCGCTATCTATCATGTCGGGAAAGCAGAGATTAAGGTCGTCATTTATTTAACACGCAGGCTTAAGACACGTAGACTTTCACCTACGTCTTCAATTAATATGGATGACTGGGGTGGGGGTTGATAATATAATTTAGCCAATTTTAAAAGTTTTTTTTGTTATCATTCTTGGTCGATCGCCAGGTCATGTACCTGTACTACCTCCTCGGCTGTAAGATTTACCGCAAGGCGAGGGCGATGGGCAAAGATGAGCGCGAGGCGTGGCTTGAGGTGAGAACAAAACAACGAAACAGCCGCGTGGCATTTTGATTTAAAGCTTCCGTGACTGCAGGGATTCGTATTGTTGGTTTTTCGGTAAAGTCACGTAGAAGGGAAACAATAAAATGATAAAAAAAATTTTAAACAATAAAATTATCACGTACGTTTCGACTGCAACACAAGCAACCATCATCAGGTGTGAAAACCACAACAAGAAAATTTGAAAAAAAAAATCAAAACCACAACAAGTATAGTGTAGTGTATAGTGTAGTGTATAGTGTAGTGTATATTAGTATACTGTATAGTTTAGTGTATATTAGCATAGTGTAGTGTATAGTGTAGTGTATATTAGTATAGTGTAGTGTATAGTGTAGTGTATATTAGTATAGTGTAGTTATAGTGTAGTGTATATTAGTATACTGTATAGTGTAGTGTATATTAGTATAGTGTAGTGTATAGTGTAGTGTATATTAGTATAGTGTAGTGTATAGTGTAGTGTATATTAGTATAGTGTAGTGTATAGTGTAGTGTATATTAGTGTAGTGTAGTGTATAGTGTAGTGTATATTAGTGTATAGCTTCCTCCAACTCCTCCCTCCTCCTCCCATCCTCCTCCCTCGCGCTCCTCCTCCTCTGCGGCAAACACAGAAGACGAAGCAGAACACCTTCGTGATGGTGCTGGACGGTGACACGGACTTCCAGCCGTCCGCGCTCTCCATGCTCGTCGACCAGCTCAGGAGGGACTCCAATGTTGGGGCGGCCTGCGGCAGAATCCACCCCACGGGCATCGGTGAGCTGAGAGTGGGGGGATTGGGGTCGGTGGGCGAGGGGGTGGGCAGGGAGATGTTGACTGCCTCGCCTGGACTACAGGAGGACGTGGGTTCGATCCCGGACCCTGGCCGTGCCTGCTGCTGTGTGTTCGGAGTCTGCGTCTCTCTCTCTCTCTCTTATCACCATCATCACGGTGGCTAAGAGATGTTAACTACCTCGCCTGGTCTACAGGAGGACGTGGGTTCAATCCCGGACCCTGGCCATGCCTGCTGCTGTGTGTTCGGAGTCTGCGTCTCTCTCTGTCTTATCACCATCATCACGGTGGCCAGGAGATGTTGACTACCTCTCCGTGTCTACAGGAGGACGTGGGTTCGATCCCGGACCCTGGCCATGCCTGCTGCTGTGTGTTCGGAGTCTGTGTCTCTCTCTCTCTCATCATCATCATCATCACGGTGGCCAGGAGATGTTAACTACCTCTCCGTGTATACAGGAGTACGTGGGTTCGATCCCGGACCCTAGCCATGCCTGCTGCTGTGTGTTCGGAGTCTGCGTCTCTCTCTCTCTTATCACCATCATCACGGTGGCTAGGAGATGTTGACTACCTCGCCTGGTCTACAGGAGGACGTGGGTTCAATCCCGGACCCTGGCCATGCCTGCTGCTGTGTGTTCGGAGTCTGCGTCTCTCTCTCTCTTATCATCATCATCATCATCACGGTGGCCAGGAGATGTTAACTACCTCGCCTGGTAATGCAGGAGGTCGTAAGCAGTTGGTAGGCAGGTCCAACGTAGATTGAGCCCTCCCTGACATCCAGAAGTCTCCGGCTAGTCCACTCAACTTAGAGTAACCTGACGCCGGTCCGCAGGTCCCGTGGTGTTGGTACCAGAAGTTCGGTTTTGATCGGCCGGTTCGACATAGCGAAAGAGCTACTTTTTGGTTATTTTGGTAAAGTAACCTAGAAAGAAAATAAATCAAATAATAGAAAACGATGCTTCGATTGCAACGCAAGCAACCATCGTCAGGTACGAATGTCTTGTCGAAGCGTCGCATTCTATTACTTAATTTATTTTCTCTCTGCTTGACTTCACCGAAAGAACCAAAAAGTAATTCCTGCAAATTTTGACTTAAAGCGTTCGTGACTGCAGGGATTCATATTCTTGATTCTTTCGGTAAAGTCACCACGTAGAAGGGAAACACTAAAATAATTAAAAATATATATATAAACCAATAAAATTATCACGACGTTTCGACTGCAACACAAGCAATCATCATCAGGTGTGAAAACCACAGCAAGAAAATTTGAAAAAAAAAAATCCTGCAGTCACGAAAAGCTCCAAAACACAGCGAAAGAGCTCAGCCCCGCGTCCAGGTTGAGGCCTCCCAGACATTCCAGAAGTCTCCGGCGCATTCACTGGACGCCTGTCCGCAGGTCCCGTGGTGTGGTACCAGAAGTTCGAGTACGCTGTGGGCCACTGGCTGCAGAAGACGGCCGAGCACGTGCTGGGCTGCGTCCTCTGCTCACCCGGCTGCTTCAGCCTCTTCCGAGCCAAGGCCATCATGGACGACAACGTCCTCAAGACCTACACCACCGTGGCTACCGAGGCGCTCCACTACGTCCAGTACGACCAAGGTGACCACGGACGGCCGAGCTTCGTGCATCGGATCGGCGTCTCGGGTCTTAGCCAGCCGTTTGGCCTCTGGGGGGCTGCGGTGTGGCGTGGTTGCGGTGTGGTGGAGTGTGGTGTGGTGGGTGAGAGGGTGAGTGGGTGGTTGGGTGGGTGAGAGGGTGGGGTGTGGTGGGGTGGGTGGGTGGGTGAGAGGGTGGGTGGGTGGGTGAGTGAGTGAGTGGGTGGTTGGGTGTGTGGTTGAGAGGGTGGGGTGTCGTGGGGTGGGTGAGAGGGTGGGAGGGTGAGGTGGGTGGGGTGGGTGGGTGAGTGGATGACAGGGTGGGTGGGTGAGTGGGTTAGAGGGTGGGTGGAGTAGGGTGGGGTGGGTGATAACGGCTGGCTCTGTACCCGGATGCTCCATCTCTCTCCATCTCACTCTCTACCCCATCTCTCAATATCTCTCCATCTCTCTCCCCCATCTTTCCATCTAACTCTCGACCCCATCTCTCCATCTCTCTCCATCTCTCCATCTGTACCCCCATCTCACTCTCTAAACCATCTCTCCCTCACTCTCTAAACCATCTCTCCCTCACTCTCTACCCCATCTCTCCATCTCTCCATCTCTCTCCCCCATCTCTCCCTCACTCTCCACCCCATCTCTCCATCTCTCTCCCCCATCTCTCCATCTCTCCATCTCTCAACCTCATCTCTCCCTCACCCTCCCTCTCTAAACCATCTCTCCATCTCTCTTCCTCACTCTCCCCTCCCCCCCCCCCATCTCTCTCCATCTCTCTCCATCTCTCTCCCCCATGTCTCCCTCCCTCTCTACCCCATCTCTCCATCTCTCTCCCCCATCTCTCCCTCACTCTCTACCCCATCTCTCCATCTCTCTCCCCCATCTCTCCCTCACTCTCTACCCCATCTCTCCATCTCTCTCTCCCATCTCTCCTTCACTCTCTACCCCATCTCTCCATCTCTCTCCATCTCTACCCCATCTCTCCATCTCTCTCCCACTCTCAAAACCTTCTCTCCATCTCTCTCCCCCATCTCTCCCTCACTCTCTAACCCATCTCTCCATCTCTCTCCATCTGTCCCTCACTCTCTAAACCATCTCTCCATCTCTCTCCATCTCTACCCCATCTCTCCATCTCTCCCCCCCCCCATCTCTCCCTCACTCTCTACCCCATCTCGCCATCTCTCTCTCCATCCCTACCCCATCTCTCCATCTCTCTCCCAAATCTCTCCCTCACTCTCTAAACCACCTCTCCCTCACTCCCTCACTCTCTAAACCACCTCTCCATCTCTCCCTCACTCTCTAAACCACCTCTCCATCTCTCCCTCACTCTCTAAACCACCTCTCCATCTCTCCCTCACTCTCTAACCCACCTCTCCATCTCTCCCTCACTCACTGCCCGCACCTCTCAGGCGAGGACCGCTGGCTCTGCACCCTGATGCTCCAGCAGGGCTGGCGCGTGGAGTACTGTGCCAGCGCCGATGCTTACACCAACGCGCCACAGGACTTCGCCGAGTTCTTCAACCAGCGCAAGCGGTGGGGCCCCTCCACCATGGCCAACACCATCAACATCCTCGCCCAGGGGTCTCGCATGGCCAAGAGGAACCCCTCCATCTCGCGCCTCTACATCCTCTACCAGATCATCTACACGGCCACCTCCATCCTGGGACCCGCCACCATCTGCCTCTTGACCGCAGGTCGCGATGAGTTGGGTTAGGTTGGTGAGGTGGTTGGTTGTGTAGTGTATAGTGTTGTCGTGTTAAGTAGTGCATAGTGTAGTGTATAGTAGTGTAGTGTATAGTATTGTCGTGTTAAGTAGTGCATAGTGTAGTGTATAGTAGTGTAGTGTATAGTAGTGTAGTGTATAGTGTAGTGTATAGTAGTGTAGTGTATAGTAGTGTAGTGTATAGTGTTGTCGTGTTAAGTAGTGCATAGTGTAGTGTATAGTAGTGTAGTGTATAGTATTGTCGTGTTAAGTAGTGCATAGTGTAGTGTATAGTAGTGTAGTGTATAGTATTGTCGTGTTTAGTAGTGCATAGTGTAGTGTATAGTAGTGTAGTGTATAGTAGTGTAGTGTATAGTATTGTCGTGTTTAGTAGTGCATAGTGTAGTGTATAGTAGTGTAATGTATAGTATTGTCGTGTTTAGTAGTGCATAGTGTAGTGTATAGTAGTGTATTGTATAGTAATGTAGTGTATTGTGTAGTATATGGTAGTGCAATGTATGGTAGGGTTGTGTGTAGTAATGTAGTGTATTGAAGTGTAGTGTATTGTATAGTAATGTAGTGTATAGTGTAGTGTATGGTAGTGTAGTGTCTAGTAATGTAGTGTATAGTGTAGTGTATGGTAGTGTAGTGTATGGTAGTGTAGTGTCCAGTAGTGTAGTGTTTAGTTACATAATGTATGGTAGTGTAGTATATAGTCGTGTAGTGCATGGTAGTGTAGTGTATCGTAATGTAGTGTATAGTGTAGTGTATGGTAGTGTAGTGTATGGTAGTGTAGTGTATAGTAGTGAAATGTATAGTGTAGTGTATAGTAGTGTAGTGAATTGGAGAGTATAGTAGTGTAGCGTATAGTAGTGAAGTGTATAGTAGTATAGCACATAGTGTAGTGTATGGTAGTGTAGTGTATAGTGTAGTGTATAGTAGTGTGTAGTGTATAGTGTAGTGTATGGTAGTGTATTGTGTAGTGTATAATGTAGTATATAGTGTAGTGTATAGTAGTATAGTGTATAGTAGTGTAGTGTATAGTAGTGTAGTGTATAGTAGTGTTGTGTATAGTAGTGTAGTATATAGTGTAGTGTATAGTGTAGTGTATAGTAGTGTAGTATATAGTAGTGTAGTGTATAGTAGTGAAGTGTATAGTGTAATGTATAGTGTAGTGTATAGTAGTGTAGTTTATAGTAGTGTTGTGTATAGTAGTGTAGTGTATAGTAGTGTTGTGTATAGTAGTGTAGTGTATAGTGTAGTGTATAGTTGTGTAGTATATAGCAGTGTAGTGTATAGTAGTGTAGTGTATAGTGTAGTGTATAGTGTACTGTATAGTAGTGTAGTGTATAGTGTAGTGTATAGTAGTGTAGTGTATAGTAGTGTAGTGCATAGTAGTGTAGTGTAAAGTGTAGTGTATAGTAGTGTAGTGTATAGTGTATTTATAGTAGTGTAGTGTATAGTAGTGTAGTGTATAGTAGTCTAGTGTATAGTAGTGTAGTGTAAAGTGTAGTGTATAGTAGTGTAGTGTATAGTGTAGTGTATAGTAGTGTAGTGTATAGTAGTGTAGTGCATAGTAGTGTAGTGTATAGTGTAAAGTTTAGTGTAGTGTATAGTAGTGTAGTGTATAGTAGTGTAGTGTACAGTAGTGTAGTATATAGTGTGGTGTATAGCAGTGTAGTGTATAGTGTAGTGTATAGTGTAGTGTATATTAGTGTAGTGTATAGTAGTGTAGTATATAGTGTAGTGTATTGTATAGTAGTGTAGTGTATAGTAGTGTAGTGTATAGTGTAGTGTATAGTAGTGTAGTGTATGGTAGTGTAGTGTCGTGTATAGTGTAGTGTATAGTAGTGTAGTGTATAGTGTATTGTATAGTAGTGTAGTGTATAGTAGTGTAGTGTATAGTAGTGTAGTGCATAGTAGTGTTGTGTATAGTGTAGAGTATAGTGTAGTGTATAGTAGTGTCGTGTATAGTAGTGTAGTCTATAGTGGTGTAGTGTACAATAGTGTAATGTATAGTAGTGTAGTATATAGTGTAGTGTATAGTAGTATAGTGTATAGTAGTTTAGTTTATAGTGTAGTGTATTGTAGTGTACAGTAGTGTAGTGTATAGTAGTGTAGTATATAGTGTATTGTATAGTAGTGTAGTGTGTAGTGTATTGTATAGTAGTGTAGTGTTTAGTGTATTGTATAGTAGTGTAGTGTGTAGTGTAGTATATAGTAGTGTACTGTATAGTGTAGTGTATAGTGTATTGTATAGTAGTGTAGTGTTTAGTGTATTGTATAGTAGTGTAGTGTGTATTGTATTGTATAGTAGTGTAGTGTGTAGTGTATTGTATAGTAGTGTAGTGTTTAGTGTATTGTATAGTAGTGTAGTGTGTAGTGTATATTAGTGTAGTATATAGTGTAGTGTATAGTGTAGTGTATAGTAGTGTAGTGTATAATGTAGTGTATAGTGCATTGTATAGTAGTGTAGTGTATAGTAGTGTAGTGTTTAGTGTATTGTATAGTAGTGTAGTGTATAGTGTATTGTATAGTAATGTAGTGTATAGTGTATTGTATAGTAGTGTAGTGTATAGTTGTGTAGTGTATAATGTAGTGTATAGTGTATTGTATAGTAGTGTAGTGTTTAGTGTATTGTATAGTAGTGTAGTGTATAGTTGTGTAGTGTATAATGTAGTGTATAGTGTATTGTATAGTAGTGTAGTGTATAGTGTAGTGTATAGTAGTGTATAGTGTATTGTATAGTAATGTAGTGTATAGTGTAGTGTATAGTAGTGTAGTGTATAGTGTAGTGTATAGTAGTGTAGTGTATAGTTGTGTAGTGTATAATGTAGTGTATAGTGTATTGTATAGTAGTGTAGTGTGTAGTGTAGTGTATAGTAGTGTAGTGTATAGTGTATTGTATAGTAGTGTAGTGTGTAGTGTATTGTATATCTCTGCTGCTGTTTCTACCGCAGGCTCGTTCGTCATTTTGTTCAAACTGGACGAGAACTGGGCTCTCTTCACCGCCGTCATCCCGCCCAGCTGCTACATCGCCATTTGCTTCTGGACAAAAGCGGCCACGCATATCAAGGTCCGGAGAGCTGCGGCTCTTGCCCGGGGCTAACGTGGTGGTGATGATGATCATTGATGATAATGCATCATTGATGATGATGATGGATCAATGATGATGATGGATCAATGATGATGATGAATCATGGTTATGATGGATCAATGATGATGATTGATCAATGATGATGATGAATCATTGGTGATGATGGATCAATGATGATGATGAATCATTGGTGATGATGATGATGGATCAATGATGATGATGATGAATCATTGGTGATGATGATGATAGATCATTGTTGATGATGCATCATTGATGATGATGGATCATTGATGATGATGATGGATCATTGGTGATGATGGATCAATGATGATGATGAATCATTGGTGATGATGATGGATCAATGATGATGATGATGAATCATTGGTGATGATGATGATGGATCATTGTTGATGATGCATCATTGATGATGATGATGGATCATTGAT